TGACTATGTAAAGGACAAGTGCTCCTTAAGACATTTGCATTCCAAAAATAATCATGTCTGTTCCCCTCTGTTGTTTCACTCTGAGTCCTTAATATTTTTTTAAGTTGTTAGCCTTATTATGAATTCCTCTTTCATCTTTGTAGCTCAGATCCTATGCTTTAGAGTTAGTATAGCCCTGTGTTTTTGGCTGAAGTTGCATGATAACGTCAAAGGTCCTTGTAGTCTGAGGACATCTCTAAATGGATGTGAACTTCACCGATGCTACTTGCCTCTCTACGTCATTTTTAGACTGGCATTATAGTTATATAAAGTTTCTTTGCTCATACCAAGGCTGATTCCTTTTCTGTCTACATATCAGAAATAAGTGAAAGTGAAGGCTTTTTGTGCCCCAGGTCCTACTTTGAGGTTTCAGTTGCGTGTTAATGAGAATTGTGCCCTAGCCGGTTACGGACTTTATCTGAGCGAGCAAATTAGCCGCAGGAATTTTGTGGTGGTGCCTGTGTGTGAGAAGAAGAGGGGCCTACTCTGACTTTCGGATCCAGAGTGCTTTACACTGCCGGCAGTTGGAAAAAGACACGCTTGTAAATGGATCCTGTTTGCCACCGAGTCACTTAGTCAATTGTTTCAATGAAACAGAAAGGTTAATGGTGCCGTCCTTACTTTTTCAGAGTAGAGCTGTGTGATAACTCTGAAGTGTTTGCAACTCAGGAAATTCAAAGACCACAGGGTTGTGTTTAGTAAAACTAATTTTTTTGGAATGATGTATTTTTTTTTAACATGAACTCTACTTCAGTGATTTTTTTTTCCCTCCCTTCTGAAGACGCTAATAAGTAGAAATGGGAATAAAATTAAGTATTCTGAAATGACTGAGCTTCTGAACGTTTTTTTGTGTGTGCGTGAATGTGACTTCTGGAGGAAAAACTGAAATGAAATGTTACAGGCAAATGGGAAATAATGAAAACTTGTAATAAATAACTCCTGATTAAAGCGTAGGTTAATGGGAGCATATGAAAAAACACAGACATTACACAACTCAATATCCTGGTAACATGCTTTAGAAATAACTGACTAATGAATGTCTCAAATTGCTGCCAGATTTCTTTGAAAAGTCATGGAAAACTTAGAAAAGAGATAAAACTGTGACAGCTGGGAACAAGTTATGATTCCTTACCCAAAGCAGAAGAGTTGCAAAAGAAAAAGCCACTGAGCCTCCACCATGAAGCCTTCTGTATGGGAGGCCAGATGCAGCTGCCCCTTTGCTTCTACAAACACAGGGCAGGAGATCCCACGGACCTCGGAGCTCAAAACGGACCAGTGGGGCCTCTTGCAAGGCCTCTGGGCAATAAGGTGTCAGGATTTCTGGCCCTTGCGTCTTTTGCAGATGTCAGGAAAAAGTTGAGGATGAGCACGAAAACATCAGTCGTCATTTTTCCCTTCCCTGACCCTTTTTCAGCTCCACTACGTGGAGTGGGGGAGGGGACCAGAACTCACAAATCATGGGGATGATGCATAGTAGAGGGATGTTTCCTGTCCTGCCCTGAGCTGAATGGCTTTTGTTTGGTTTTTTTTTCTTAGTTTTTATTATTCATTCCTGACATCTAATTTAGATTTTTGGATGGCTGCTGAATGTTGTGCTGATGTTTTTTTACTGACCTGTTCTAAGCCCGGTATCTTGCTCCTGAGTGACAGTGGTCAGCCAGAAGACTGTCACTTTACGTGTAAAGTTAGGTTTGCTTTTCCCCATGTGCCTCACTTAAATTTCAATAGATAAGTAGAGCCTGCCAATTTATTGCCCAGTCCCTCAGTCCTCTATAGTCATCTTGCAGTTCTTCATAGCTGGCCCTTATCTGTAATGCCCTGAGTTACCTAAGTATCATCGACCACTTCACTGCTCATTACCTTTCCCAGAGCCATTGTAAAAATTTGGAAGAGCCCAAATCCCAGCAGAACCCCGCTGGGGACCTACCTCCAATCCAAGAAGTGACTGTTTATTCCTCTCGTCTAACTAGTTATCTATCCGTGTAAAAGCCTTCCTCCTTTATGCCATGGCAGCTTAGTTTCCTTAAAAGCCTTTGGTAAAGGGTGTTGTCAAAACCCTTTTGGAAATCCAGGTAGACTGCCTGATCTGTGAGTCAAATCTTCCTTGTGCACATATTTTTTTTGACTCCTTTGGAGAACTCGAATGAGTCTGCGAAGCAGGAATAGAGAATTTGTGTTGATTCTTCCCGAGTACAGGAGTAATACTGATTAAATATGCTAGTTTCCATTATTCTTTACTAATTTACTCTTGTAACTCATTGCTGTTCGTTTTGTCTGTTTGCTCCATGACCTTGTTTCTATGAGACAATCTGAGCTGAGGTTTGGCTTGTTGTTAGCTTTTTTTCTTTTTTCTTTTCTTTTTTTTTTTTTTTGAACTCTGAGTTCCCCCCCCCAGAGCATGGTGTCGGTATGGGAATCCGTCCAGCTTCTCCCACAGCAGATGCAGACGCAATAAATTCATTTAGCCTTATCCTTGCTAAGCCTGGCTTTTTACTCCCATATCATGTGCATGCACTCTCTGGCAGGCTTCCCACTCATGTGGAGCCCGAAGAAGATAACTGTTAGTTTTAATGCCTCTTGCTAGTCGTCCTGCAAGCTTCCTTCTGCCCTACCTTAGCGTGTTTTTTTCCCCCGCTGAGCCTTTTGCGTAGCTTGGTGGAGCTAGCACAGGTGCGCACGGCAGTGACGATTTGGGTTTTTAGTGTGTGCCAGCTGCCAGAGCACCAAGGGAGCCTTTAGGGGTGTTGGGCACAGTGTGCTAGGGAGGATGAGGTGAGCCCCCAGCCCGTCTATTTTGCTGCCTTAAGACTAAATCAGCTTTGACGAGGCTGTTTTTTGAATCTTCAGAGAAAGCGTTTCTCACTAAGCCGCAAGGGCAGAGGTGCTTTCTGCTTGCGCTTATACCAAGTCTGCTTTAAAAAGTGGGCAAGATCAAAGTGAGAGCAAGTCCTGTCTTAACACAGCAAAAAAAGTAAAAATCCCTGCTGCAGGTTGAAACCCAGTTAGAAAGAAATGTCATAAAAAACAGTAAAACAGCGTAAGACATCCCTGGGCATGAATTTCTTGTAGCTGTTGTTTGGGGGTTTTGAGAGCTTTGGAGAACTGGAGATCCTGCTCGGCAGTGCTCTGCCCCTAAAATCCCTCCTTTCAGAGCAAATCTCTCCTGGCACCACTGGTCCCATTTATATTTAACAGATTCAACCCATGTTTCGGTAGCACTATGGTTTCTCACTGAAATCGGGAGGCTTCTCTAGGATTTGGGGAAGCACTGAAATACTCTTGAGTTTATTTGAAGTGGATTTCTTTGAGGTGTGTGTGTTGGCAGGAGGTGTCATTTGGGTTTCTTCCACCCGTTTATCCCTTTCCTCAAATCTTATTTTGTTTTTAAGCTCCCATTTGTAACGTGTCTCAAGTTGGGTGTCCTTGAGCCTTTGGGCTTGTTTGGCGATTTATTCAGTTTCTTCCTTCTGCGAGTCTTCCTTCCTTCCTTCCTTCCTTCCTTCCTTCCTTCCTTCCTTCCCATGAATATCTTCAGATTTGTCATGGCTTTGTATTTCAATATAAATGATGCTTTCTACTGCCTGCAGTGTTTTCTGACTGTTCCCTGGTGGGAATTATATAGCGGAGCCTCATAGAGGTGTTACGTGGAGCAGCAACGGTGTAGGAAACTGAACTGGCCCTAGCAGTGTTACATTTTTGTCGGATTTCAGGCCTTCTGGCACAGGTTTCCCCTCCAGTTGCCAGCTGGTGCTTAAGTCTGCCTGATTTAGTTTGGTCTGCCAGGGCTCTGTGGGCGCAGGCTATGTTAAAAGCTTCACTGGGGCTATGCAGACTTACCCTCGGGTACAGTTTCATGCCATCTCTGTAATCAGCCCCGTAGCCTTCTTTAAATGTAGCTGAACAAAGGATTCAGTTAAATTGCCTGATTTGATAATCCATAATGAGCTGTTTGCTGCAGTTCATTCATAACGTAGAGCTAGGAGCAGAGGACTAATTTTGCATGAGTTTATTCATGACGGAAGAGAGTTTCAGCTCCTAGAGGGCTCAAGTCTGGAGGGTAGGTACCTACTGCCACTGGACTGCTGCTTAGGAATTAGGTGACATACATCCCAGAAGCTCACTGACAGCTGCTCCTGGGCTTTGAAGGATTACAGAAGAGTTAAGGTATCTGTGAAAGGGAGCAAAGGTTTGAGAGCCGTTGAAACTGGGACTATGCGTCCACCTAAAAAAACTTTTAGGTATCAAGTAAATGATGCTGCTTCTGCAAAACTGTATTTCCAATAAACGTCGCCCTTCTAATGGCAGGCAAAAAATGGAATTTCGTAGAGGGTGTAGCAACAGAGAAAGAAAGCGTCTTTGCGTTATTTCTAATGTGAGGTTATCAAGAAGTATCTTTAAATGTATTATAGCACATGTGGCATGTAGTCTTCAGAAGTTCATATTCGGTGTGGTCAAAAGAAATTTTTCAGGCGACTCGGATGCATATGTGGTAGGGAAGGCTACCACATCTCAACGCTGCCCTGCACTCAGCGTTAACAGTTTTGAGCTGGGGGGGTAGCTGGGTTTTTCTGGTTTTTTTAGTTGAGCTGCGGGGTGAAGCAACAGCAAGAAAAGTACTTTCCTGCTCAAAGGCTTTACTGCTAAGATGAAAGCAGTGACTAAGCAGAACGTTTTCCCAGCTAAGAGGTGAGGTTTGTTTTCCTTTTTTAGGGGAGAAAAAAAAAAGAATTAAACCGTAGAGGGCACGATTTAAGGATGGATACAGTCATCTGAAATGGCTAGTTATAAAATCTCTTCAGTTTGTTTTGGAAAAAGCTGTCAAGCAGTGTAGCCGCAGAGTTTTGTAGCATTGGGGTGGAAGGTGCTGGGGCTTTCTCTAAACCTTGAAAGCCTTCTAGGACAAATTGCGGGGGGGGAAGCAAGCGCGGAATAACTAACTAACGTGACCTTTCTTTCGTCAGACATGTCAAGTGTGCCAGATGATGCTACCTAACCAGTGCAGTTACTGTGCTCATCAAAGAATCCATGCTCACAAGTCTCCCTACTGCTGCCCGGAGTGCGGAGCAGTGTGCCGGTCCGCCTATTTCCAAACCCACGTCAAGGAAAACTGCCTGCATTACTCCCGCAAAGTTGGATTCAGGTTTGTGCTGCTCCAAAAGGTCTGTGCTGAGAACACAAGGACGAACGGGAAACTAATGTAGATCTTGGGAAGTGTGTGCTCCTTTCGGCAGAAGCTAAAGAGAGGATGCAACGTGGGATGGACATGTTTTTCTGTGTTTGAAACCGGAAAATACTAAATGAGTGTAAGAGGAAATATCTGAGTGCAGAAATGATTTTGAGCTGGCTTTAAGTCAAAAGATGTTTGCCTGTTTGTGTTAACTTCAAGTTGCGGACAATCATCTGAGAGTTGATATTTACAGAAAAAGATTGTAGATCTTAATCCTCTAAATCTCTTTCGGGTTTGAACTTACATTTATGTCAGTCATAATGGACTGAGGGATGTGTGCCTTCACAAATAGGGCATCAGTTATTTTCTTGTGTGACCCTAAAAATCTCCAAACACTTGTCAAGATCTGACACGAATGAAAGAAGCCTTCTAAGGTTTTGGACGTGGTGGTGTGTGTGTGCTTGTGTTGTCTTTTCCCCGACTGAATCAATTGTTTTAATATAACACATTATTACATTTTCCTACAAACCTTGCCTGCCTGGTATGTTTAGATCACTACAGGTGCAATACTGCTCTTATTGTAAGGTATAGATGATTTGCCTGGGAGATGAACAGTGGGCTAGGGGACCTTTTAGGAGTCCTTAAAGTCCTGTTATTTTTCTCTGATTAGTATTACCTACTTAACTCTGACATTTAAAGTGAGTAGGGCAATTTCTACTGTTGGACTTGTTCTTGTAGACTGTCTGCAAATTCAAGAAGCCTCCCTTGTGTGGTGTATTCTAAAATCACATTCAAGTTTTCAAGGGCTTTTTCAACCATGAAGAGGCATATATTCAACTGATTCTGAGTTTAATTATATACAGATTTGGGATTTTTTTATATGGGGTCTGATTGCAGGGGGCATAACCTTCAACAGAATTAAGTCCATTGCAAATTAAATGGCTGTGATACTGATGCTGTTGGAAAATTAATTAATTTGAGAGAAGGAGGAATGCGGAAAAAAGAAAGGTTTTCCCCTAGGTGGAAAAATGGGAATAGGAGTAGCTGTCAAATAACTAAACACAGTGTTGATGCAGGTGTTTGTGCTGCACTGGCACCTCAGAATCCCAATAACAGATGCAGCTTCACTATGCTGAGCGTTGTATAGGTGCCACTTACGCAGCATCCCCATCTCTGAAAACGCCTTAGTTGACATTGTGTCACACTGACCTAAGCTGCATTATACAGGAAGCTCAGTCTTCTAGTGAGATGCAGTATAAGTCCTTTCTCCTGTCTTTCCAGTTGATAGGCTCCCAGTTTACAGCAGAGGTTGGTGCTGATTCTTAAGTGTATGACTTTGCATTTTCTAAAAAGTATTATTAATTCCAGATGTATTACAGTAATATCTTTATGATGGCTTAATCCTTGTCCTCCTTGGTAATGCCAGCTTTGATCCATCTGCAGATGTCATTAGTGCATATCTGCTTTCTGTGCCAAGGTCATTAATGAAGATCTGAAACAACACAGAGCTCAAGAACGATACTTAGGGAATTCTTTAGCTGCTGCTAGCTTCTCCAGGAGTGAAATTCCTTTAACATCGCTCTAATTCTCATCTGCTCAAACTCACCTGTGGAAACTGAATCCACCAGACAGGTGAATGCCTGCATCTGTGCCATCCTTGTTATCCTTCCTGTCTCTGCTGTGAGGTTGGTATCATTGGCAATGTTGAAAACAGATGAAGTATTTCAGTTGTAAAACCGTATCTAGATAATCCATGGCATCTGCTGGGTTGTCACGTAGTGACTTTAGTTCTTTGCTTTTACTTTTGTTATTTGCAGAACTGAAAAGCCTAGGAGTTCTTTTAAATCCTTCCCAGGATCAGCTTGACTTTTCTGCTTCTCACTATATCCCTGTATTTCTTGAATTTCTGAGTTTCGTTTTGTTTTCCTGATTAGTCCATGTTCTGTTTCCTTTTCTGCTAATATCCCAATTCACTCAATTAAATTTGGAGGAGGATTGTTTTAATTTGTTTTAGTCATGGCTAGTGATTACATTGAAGATGAGGAGAAAGGCCTTATTTAGAAATTAAAATGAGCAAGCCTGTTCTAAATGTTCCTTTCCACACAACTCCAAATGTCGACTCCCCACTCTTTTCCGAGCAAGTCCAGCACCTTCCAGCTGTCCCCGCCGACGTGGCGATGCGTGGCATTTGCTTCCCTGCTCGTGCCGTCCGGAGAGTTCACAGGCCAGAATATGACAGTGTAAGAAAGAAATATTTAGAAGGTTAAAACAACATCTTGTAGCTTTATCTTTTCTTGCGGGATTCTTTCCAAGACTTTTACCCTACCCCTCCTTACCCTGAGGCTATCCTAACATCTTCTCATGTGAATTATTCCCCTTTGCTTGGGATATGTTTTCTGGATGATAATCAGAATTTGTTATTTACAGAAATTACATGGCAAGCCTCTAAGATCCTCAATCCGCTTTGCTCCACTAATGAGTTTATTTTATCACAGTTTGTCCTTTTGGCACTGGGGTCCTTGGTTGCGAAGTGGCTTTTGTTTAAACTTCCATTTACTGTAAATTAAATCAAGTTGTGATCATTTGACCCAGAGTTAGGAGGCGTTTCATCACTAATTCTGTAGGAGATCTTTAGTACTTACCAAAGCCAAACATAATGCAGAGCCATCTCTTGTTAAGTCAGTGAGCGTTCGCTGAAGAATCCTATCAGATATTCTTGGATGTAATGGCTGGACCTTATTGTCAGAATCAGTATTTGTTCTTCCATTTATGCTTGGGAATTTAGCCTCCCATAATGACACGGTTCCTGGTGTTACTATAATAAAAATCTCTTTCTGTGGCTCATATGACTGAGGGCCAAGCCTGAAGGCAGAACTATCCAAGCAGAATATTTTCATGCTTTTCTGAAGACAACAGCTGTTGGTGTCACTGATTTTCTTTCTAAATTTAAGAAAATAGCATTTCTGTGTGTATTTAGGGGGAGAGGGCTTGGCTAGCTTGGGCTGACCTCTGCATAACGGTCTTTTGAAGTACAGCTTCAAAGCACAAAGTTGTTTCCTAAACTCTGTCAGAAGGCTCGTTTGGATGGAAGGATAATGTAGTGGCTTGTTTGTTTTTGATACGGGTTTGGAGCTCTTCCAGTTGCTAGATAGCTGGGGTCCCATCTGGGACAGAGCTAGTGGTGTACCGTCTGCCACAGTGCTGCTGAGTGCTCAAACACTAATAGTGCTACTAGTAAAAGGGAAACCTCAGAATTAAGAAAAAATGTATTTTATTTATAAAGCATTTTAACCCCAGGCTGCAGTTTGGCTCACTGGATGAAATTAGTCCTCATTTATCTCTTGCGTCGTACTAGCGGAAGCACTATCTCCTCACATGGACCAGCCAAGCTCCTTGTGGGAGAGCTCATTCATTGTAACGGTCAATGTGTGCTTCGTTGGCTTAAGAAGAGATGTGTTGTTAGTCGTTTTGATTGAATCTATTAGGAGCAATCACTAAATCTGCTTTGGTCCCCAGGCGGACGAGATGCTCCTGTCTGGCCTGCTCAGGGTGGTAAACTCTTCGGCTGGCATGACCAAAGCCAGGCGAGGCCAGGTGTCTCCGTCCTCATATGCCCTTGTAGTGTTTGCTTGTGGCTTCTTTAATAAGCTAAACAGGTGGATGTTTGGAAGGGATATTGAAGCTAAATATAGTACAGCTGTCACTTGTTGCTGTCTTGGGGAGTATCAGTTGAGGCCTGTCCCAAAAGCGTTTTGAGAGGAGTGGCAGGCTAGGAATGGCTGGATGACCATAGCCGTTCTCCTGGTCCTGAGCCTCTGTTTTTGACTGCAAAGAAGTGTCCTCTGGCTCCATACAAAACCTCTGCAAGCACTTCTTCCTCTCTTTTCTCCAGGAGCACCCCCCCAGCTGCCAGACTAAGCGCTATTCAGGCAAACACATGCATCTTCGTGATTTTAATGAGCTTAATCAATTGTTTGGATGTTTCTGTTGCAGTGTTTAGTACATTTGTTGTTTCTGTCATTATTTCCTGGTGCTTAGCGCAGTACGAGAGGAGCAGTTGTACAGTTTACTGATTGTACAGTTTACTGAAGATTTCCCAGCTGAATATTCTCTGTTGCTCTTTTTGGGTTTGGTTTTGTTTTGTACCGGGCTATAACTGTCATTTGTGCTGCCTATTTACTACCTTGAGAGCTCATCAAGTACTTTTACTTTTTGAGTTCTTCACTTGTACCTGTGACTAAATTGGCTTTCATAGATGCAGGGATTGCGTTTTTGCCAAGGCAGTTTTGCGTTTTGCATCTCCTTTTATTTTTTCCAGGTTGTTTTAAGCTCTGAAGGCTTCTTTTATAGTCCTGTTTGATTGTCGCTAACATTTAGTCGTGAGATATGTCCAGCTTTTGAATTCCTATATCGTATTCCTCCTTGCCTCTTCCACGTTGCTACTGAAGAGACTAAAAGAGGACCCACCGTAACCTGGTGCTTGCCTCCCACTGCAGTGCTTTCCAGTTGTGTGTGTTTGTTGGAAGCAATACTGAATAGGTAATTCAGCTCTTTTTTTCATATGCCTTCCAGGTGCATCCATTGTGGAGTTGTCTTTATGACCCTAGCCATGCTGAAAGTGCACATTCATGAGAAACACTGCGAAGTCTTCCACAAGTGTTCTTTTTGTCCGATGGCCTTCAAGTCAGCTGACAGCACCACTGCTCACATGACTAGCCAGCACCCAAAAGAGCCTCACAAGACTACTCAGTAAGTATTTTGTAATTATCTTATCCTTTGTTGGGTAGCTCCAGAATTCCCCATTTCTGTTCCAATTTTTTTTTTTGTTTTGTTTCTGTCTTTGTGGCAGAGGAGAAGCTACTGCTTTATCTACTGACAGGGGTTCGTTCCTAAGTACAGCCCGTGCTCCTTGATACGAACACAGCCTTTTCAGGGGGAGGAGAGGGGTTCAGGTATGCAAAAGAAGGGGCTTCACCATCGCCTCTTTGTCCAGCAGGAACTAGAGTGGCACCTATTAGTAAACGACTCTAGGGAAACCGTTGCATCTGGCGCTCAAAAGGAAGAGGAGCGTTATGTCATGCGGCATTGCCCCAGAAAATCGCTAGAGAAAACCACCTTTTCTTTCCACTCCATAGCTTTCCCTTCGAAGCCTCGAGCTAGGACTGGAAATGTGCGCCTTAAGGCAGGGACTGTGGAAAGGTCAGACTGAAAGTAATGTGTAGCTAGTGTACTTTGTACTTGGAATCTGCTCCCATCTGTCTGCACTTACCTACACACACGTAGGTAGTTCTGCATATGCATATAAGCAAACTTATTTTTGGAAGGCTGTGGTAGGTGCCTGAGGCATTCTGTTGTTCTTCCCAATGGAGGTAATGGTTCAGTGGTCCATGTGGGTGTGTGTTGACAATACACTGAGAGCGCATAACTTCCTGAAGTTATGTTGCTGAGATAACTTTCCACTGTCGTCTTAAGATAACTAACGAAGAGAGAGTGAGTTTGCTTTTTTTAATTGTTCCAGGGTGATCTACAAATGCTCCTGCGAGACTGTCTTTAACAAGAAGAAACTGCTCCAAGAGCACTTTCAGCAGAATACCAACAAGTTGTTAGTGGGAGTGTTTAAGTGCCCGCAGTGTCAGCTGGTGTATATGCAGAAGCAGCAGTTAATGCAGCACGTTAAGGTAGGTAACTTCCACCAACTTACAGATCTGAGGTCCTGTTTTCTGACTTCTCAGAGAGTTTGCAGCAACTATGTAAGGGAATGGATTGAAGAAGTGGAAAGTTCTAATCAGTGAACGCATTAGTGGAAAAATAGATGACAAAAAACCTCTAGTACTGTGGAAGCATCAGTAGAGAGCATTTTGTATTAGCTGGTAGTAGTACAGGCAGTTACTCTGATCTATATGTAATTTAGCCTAATGAAAAGGGCTAATTTCCGTCAGGTAAATCTTTTTGATTGTTAACTGTTCTATGTTAAACTAAAGGAAGTGATTAAATGTAGGGGGTTGGGGGGAGCTTTATCTTTACTGGATACCAATGCTACCAATGGTCTTACTCAATTTATATAATGAAAGGTTCATTTTCTTAGGGCCCCCTTGTGCCTGCCTCTGAGAGAGGCTGTGCAGCATTTGAAGCCCTGCTTCCCACACTGCTCTGCTTGCCAGCAGAAAGCAGATTGGAAGAGGGGAATGAGAGGAGCGGCAGGAGCAATTGCTGCGGAGGTGCTAGCCTTTGGGAGGCAGGACCTCCTGCCTTGTGCATCCGCACCAGCGCTGGTCCGTGGCAGGCCCAGTGCAGCACAGGGTGCTCCAGAAGATGGTTTGAAGAAGAATAGTTATGTGTGGGCCAAAGGACTTGGTGGGACTAGTGGTATGGAAAGCACTCCAGACCTGCCCTTCCTCAATAGTAGCTCATATTCCCAGAAACACTGCAGTAATTTCACTACCATTTGCAGCAACTTTTATACCTAGGAAAAGCTTATTATTTTCCATTTACTGGTGGTTTGTAGTGGGATGCATGTGAGGACTTACAGATTTGATTATACCATGAATGCGTGAGTGCCACGTTTACTCTTGTTTTAGTCAGTATGTTCCCATGTACAATATCCAGCAACACTGCCTTGGAAATCCTCTTGGAAGACTTCCTAGTGGCATTCTGAAGAAAGAACTTGCGAAGTCTTACTTCCCTTTGATTAGAAAGAATAGTGACATAATTTTTTAAATTAGTGATTTTATTTTGTTTATACTTGTGCTTCTATAAGGAAGAGGATCCGTTAGCTCATGCCCAAAGGAGAAAACCATTCAAAACTGCTTCTTTGCTCTCTCACCCCATGCCTTTAACTTGCAAATCTGGAAATGCTTTGCATGCGTTAATGAATTAAAATCTGAAGCCCTCCTGTGAAGCTTGTAATTACTAATCTTCCTGTATTATAGCAGGGAAAATAGAGCTGAGATTAAGGTTAGGACTTTCAAAGAGGTGTTCAAACCCAATGCTAGTAAATGGGTTTGAGATACACAACTTGTTGCAGCTCATCTGCAAATCGCAGCCCCAAAGACTTGCCTACAGCAGTTTGTGCCGAGCACTCTGACATCTAGACTTCTGTCTTTTAACCACGAGGCTGCATTTAGCCAGCATTGGGTCTCTGAGACTGTAATCGAAGAAGGCTTTTTGGTTGTCTCAGGGTAACAGTTGCACTAGCCCATCTCTTTTCCTATCAGATCAGGCTCCTTTATGCAATATAGAGTTCATAATAGGTGCCGTCTGATTTGTGCTCATATAAACGGTAAAGAAACCCTGTGCCTTCATGTCTTATCTGACTTTTGGTTGTTAAAGCGTAAGAGTAGGAGTTAGAAGGTCTGGTTCCCGTTACTGGCTCTGCAGTGAAGTCAGTTCACTTTCCTGTGCTGCTTTTTTTTTTTTTTTCCTCCTTCCTGTAGTGTAATAGCAGGAGGAATGGAATAATGGGTATTAATGTATTTTTTGCTCATAAAATACTCTTGGGCTTTGCAGAAGGGGAGAAATGTGAAGTGTTCGTATTACCCTAAATAGCTAGTGATGCTGTGGAACAGCTGTCGTTCCCCTGTGACCGCATGAAACAGCTTCTGCGGACATCGGTTTGATCAGGTGCAACGCACAGTCTTCGCAGATGAGACCTTGTGTTTTGAAGCTTCTGCTTGGTGTCCAACCCAAGGAAAGACTTCCAAAGGCCTGGGGCTTTTGTGTGTTGAAATTTTACCCGTTATTAATTACTGTGCACAATTAAACCTCTAAATTACCCTTGGTGTGGATGAACTGTTGTTGTTCCTAGGAGAGTTTCTTGAGGTTTCATTGGTATGCTGCTATTTTATTTGCTTTTGCTTTCCCACAGCTCTTTGTTTCTGAGTTTTTTTTTTTATGTTCAATTTTCTTTGTTAAAATAACTTTTGGGGGGACTTTGGATTTTGGCCTGTTGCATGACTGAGAAGCCTGAAGACGTATTCCTTATAAGGCTGGTGTCTGGCTTTATACTTGCTTTTATTTGTAAATAACAAAGTTTCTAACTGTGAAAACGTACATAGCAATAGGAGCTGTGGAATTGTAGAAAGCAGGGTTGGAGAAACTGTGAGAGGCTGTCTTTTCTCTTCCCTTGAACAAAGATCAAGCAGCTTTGTAGCCCCCAAGAAAACAGCGAGCATTTCATTTGGGGTTTACCAGAGCAAAGTCTTTTTAGAGTTTAGGCTCTCAAAATAATGATAATTAACATTTCTCTTTCATTACATCTTCCCTTTTTAACCAGGGTTCTCAGGGCTCATCCAAAATGTTAAACCGACAGCACCAAGGAGCTGCGATTGTCATGCAGGAAACATAAATAAAAGCTTTGTGTTTCTGTGGGAAAATCTCTTGTCAGGCGAAGCTTTATAGCGTGTTTCATGGGGAAATGGGAAGATAATCAGGAGCAAGTCATGAACATGTTGTTGGGGGGGAGGCTTAGATTATTTATTTAAATACTAAATGTTATAATATGCCTCAGTTTGTAAACATATATAAATTACAGGTAAGTGTTATGTTTGATTCAATTATTATTGTTATTATCCAGGGTGTTCATGGAGTCCCCCAAAATCCTGAGGAGCTCTCAAACTTTCGACAGAAGTCTGAGAAAGCATCAAGGAACCAGGTTCACACCTCACCAAAGGAGCTGTCAGCAGCCAATGGGACTTCCCACTCCTCTCTGCCGAGGAAAGACATGAGGGTGGAACACAATCCCGAATCAAAGTCCAGACTGAGAAGAACTGGTTGGACTTGTAAGGAATGTTCACAGTGGATGCCCGATCGGGAAACCTTTGTGTCCCACATGAAGAGAAGTCATGGAAGGGTAAGGACACAAATGAAACACTTCACCTGTGTAACAAGATACTTTTAGTAAAAGAATCTGATTAATCGTTAATATTTTGGGCAAAAAGAAACTGAGAATCTATTTGTCAGCTCAGTGAGGAGTGAGAGGAGGGCCAGAACAAAATAATGAGATAGCATGTTGTAAGCACGCTTTCTGTCCTTGGTAGTATTGTCCAAAAACCTGCGTACCTCATCCTTTTTGCTGTTCCTTCTCCCACTGCATCTAGTGTCAGGCTTCGTCGTCTGCTCATTTGGGTAAGTGGATGGAAAGCTGCGTCTTCTCCAGCTGCTGGTTTAACAGTTGGCAGCACCAAGATTTCTTCTGGGTGTTCTCAAGCTGTATTTACAGTTTTCTTCAGCAGATACTCTTCCCCTAGTGTGGCAGTGTTAGCAATGATACAAACCTACCACGTGAGCCAGTGCAGCATAGCATGGACTGTATTCTGAGTAAAATGTAACTGCAAGTAAGATTGTAGTTATGGTAAAAAAAAAAGGTCTAAACAAACTGAACACAAAATTAAGGAAGGAAATACAATGCCTCTAAACAATGTATTGTTTGCTAAATATCCCAGGACATCTAACTGGGGAAGATTCGTGTAATGGACGCATTAAGTGTGCACAGCTATCATTATAGGAAGTGTAAATCTCAATTTTGTTGGTTTTGTACGGCTCAAGCTTTGTGGCCTTGACCTAGTTCTGTCAAGCTAATCCTTACTCACTGGCAAAACATAGGCCAAGATGTCATTTGCAGCCAGATTTCTTAGTACTTTGGCATCAGGACTTCTCGTTTGATGCACTGAGTCACGCTTGTTTTGAGTCCCATGAGCAGAGGCTGTGGAAATCTGGACCATCATTTGTGATTCCTTCCTTCTAGCTTGAATTGGGGAGCGTGGGATTGTGCACTTGATAAATATCAAGAGGAAAAGATTGGGGCATAGCGAGAGTGCTGGATTTTCCCATTTGACTTCTACAGAAGTAGGAAATTTGCCAAATATTTAAGTTTAATACATACATTCATTCATTACAAAAGTCCAAGAAGTCTTTTGTGGAAGGCATGCAGATTATATGAAGGAGTATAATTTCAGATAGATGTAGGAAAAGGAGGAGGTTAGTTACAGGGCAGAGTTACAAGTGGGACTGTATGATGCTCTTTAACATCCTGCCTTTTTACTGTGCTGGAATATGAGGAAAGCGAAGGGTAAGTGCGCTTGTACTTCACACTGGGGCCCTGCCTTCCTTTGGGGGAGAGGAAGGGACCTTCCACCTGCTCTGAGCAAAGCAGAGATGGTGTCTGATGTTGTCTGCTCCTTTTTCTCTTTTTGGTTCCTGCCAAAAAGACTGGCAGGAACCCAAGGAGCAGAAAGTTTCTCAGAAGATTCTGCGAAAGTTAGGTCTGGAGATAGTTTTGTGGCCGCTGAATTAATTCCGGAGGATCCGATAGTAAAATGAACCCACAGCAGGAGTAACTAATGCAATTCCTATTAAGAAAAAAAAAAAAAAAAAAAAGAGGCATGTGCTTTAACTTGTCCTGATTTCTAGAAAACCAGTGCTGAGATTAGCCAACTGTTGGGCTGTGTATATGTGAGACCCCAAAATCTTGATGATCACTATCAGTGGAAGAGGGATTTTTTGGCAACTGAGAGGTAAGGTCCAGAGGAACAGCATGGGTATGTTAGAATCCAGTCAGTGTCTTTTATCTCCCTGTTATTAAAACATATTTCTGTTCTTCTGCTAGTCTATGAAGAGATATCCCTGTCGACAGTGTGAACGCTCATTTAATGCCTCTAACAGTCTGCGTAGACACATCCGCAATAATCACGACACAGCAAAGAAAGTTTACACTTGCTGGTAAGTCCTGAATGCTGCTCTTCAAATTTGTTTTCAACAACAGGCTAAACTTTCAAGTTCAGAAGCCCTTTGTAACAGATCGTGTCTGCTCCTATCTACTCCAGGCTATAAATTACTGAGGGAGAGTGAGAAGAATATGTTAAACATGAGAGACTTGCTGGCTAAAATAAGTCCTTGGTTTTGACTGCACAATGCCCTTTGGAATCTTAGGTTAAGATCTGATTTGAGATCTGCAGGTGCAAAATTACAATTGTATTGCACACCCTTGTGAAATGGCCAATAAAATATTGGGCCAGTCTTTCATTGTTTCGTAGTTTGTGTAGTCGTGCATCGCTCTTGTGCCTTGCCCATGAAAAAAATGGTGCAAAAATGGAGCAAAAGGTGCATAAAATGCTAACGAATCAGGGCACTAGATCTTGCCACCAGTGTTTACACAGGCACAGCTGACTGCACAGGCTGCAGTGCAGCATAGTGGAGAATTAAGCCTGCTGGATTTCCTTGGGAAGATGCACCTCAGAGCTGTAAAATGGGTTTGGAGACTTCAAATGAGCCTTGTAAATCAGCAGTGAGCGCAAATCATTGCTGATGAGCTTATTGTAGCTGTGAATGCGGTCTCAGTTCAGGAAAAAGCACGATGCTTAGAAAACTACCTCCACAACTATTGTGTTCTTGTCTATTGTTGTAGAAAAGTCATATACCAAGCAATTACGCAGACCTGATTACTATCTAATTCTGAGAAATCCTCCTGAAAAAGAATTAAAGCACGTTTCTGCTTGGAGGGAAGTTTTTGGTGACATAAGGTGGGGGATTATTTGTTTAACTAAAATTTTGGTTTAATGCAAGTGCTTCTGAGAGCGTATTATCACTTTACGGCACTTAAAATTACTGAAAGCCTATTTTGAAGAGTACATCCCTCATGTACTTTATTTCTCTGGACAGCATAGTGAGCCACAATGGCTTTTGGTAAATGCCGGAAGCACTGGCAACACCATTAGGGCCCGATAGATGTAATTCCCTGTGCGTTTTTGAGCCAGGACTTCTAAGTTTTCCTTTTCTTTGTACTGAGTTGTGATTTGAAACCTCTGGAGAAGATGAAACATTGGCTTCCAGTATGTTTTGTTCTGTGTTAAGTTTGTGGGCAATGGTTTATGGAGTTACGTGCACCTGGTTTGTATAAATCTGTTCTCTCTGGATCACTTGTTTTCAAAGTGGAATGTATTGGCATGAACATAATGCCTAGCTGGGAAGAAGGATTTGTACAGAACTGCATAATAACCTGGGACTTGCCAGCCTACCATATGCGTTAGCTTGTACAACATGCAGTTGTGGATGCAAAGCTTCACCCAAGCATCCAAGCTCATACCGTATTCAAAGTAGAGAAGACCCAGTGAAAAGTTCAAGTGAACTGTTGTGGTTGCATTTAATTCTCAAGCTTGTAGTTGCCCCTTCTCAAAATGCGCTGATGAAATCGTACTTGGATAGTGGTTGCGTTCTCTTTAATCATAGCAGTGACGGACTTACTGAGATCAAGGCACCCTTCAGATTAAACCTCTTCCTTGAAAAACTTGTCCCAGCACTTCCAACAGCTTCTTTTTGGGTCTGAGGTCTTCTGTCTGGTCTTCCCTTTGTCAGCTAGTTGACTTTGGTCTGTCTCGATATTCAGCCTCTGTGGTTGTGCTCCTCCCTATTTGCATACCCCAGCTTTGATTGCCCTCAGGGTTGCCTCCAACCATCTTCCTACCTGTGTGAGTTAGAACCGAGGACAGCCTCTACACTGATAGATGGGGATGACTCTTTGTCCACCTGGGCTTTTCCTAAATCCTATTTTCAATCACAGCCCCAGTGTTTCTGAACTGGTTTGATCCCTTTTAGTTTGACCAGTGTGCTGTTCAAAAAATCACCTTTGTTACTGCCACTCACAGATCCACTCATCTCTCTGATTTTCTCCTCTGGCTCCTTTCCATGCTCTCTAAGGCATTGTATCTCTTTTCTTGGGTTCTGGTATCTGTTTTCCTTCTTCCTGCCAGGCCTTGTATCAGTCTTGCTACTCGCTGTTGTTCCCTTCAGAGTTTTTAGTGCCTTGACTTCATGTCAGCCTCTCTACTCCTGGATTTCCATGTGAAGTATAGAAGTATGAGTAAATTTCTCATTGATCTGAGTATTTCTTGTGACAGCAGCATGCTGTCCTGTAGGCCACGTCCCCCTTGCTTTAACATTTCAAGCTGTGATTTTTTCCCCCCTTCTCCCCCTGCCCTGCTTAGGGCTCTGCCTTCTGTTAACTTTGTAGGGAGAAATTAGTGATGAAGGATTTGCCTGAACACCCTTCTGCCAAGATTGTCACTGAAATAATTAAGTTTAGGAAAGCATCTTGCCCTGCTCCCATGGAACGGATTCCAAATTAGAGCAAATTGCAGAATAACCTGGTGTTTTGTATTTTTTTTTCCATAATTCATTCGGTTATTGTTATCGGAACTTGTTGGTATTTTCCAAGTCTTAAGTACAAACTGTCTAGAACACTTGATTTTAGAAATGTTTATTTTTTATAAATACTACTTAATAGCCTCTCTTACTTATTGCCTCTGTGAGGGAGAAAAATCCCATCATTATTAAATATTGATTTATCACCCAAGTGGTTTCCGTTAAAAAACAGAAATATTCAGTGAGCATGCCTGCATTTTCACATCATTACTGACTGTTGTTTAATTTCCATCTAGTAAAGAAGCTAGAAGATCAGAAGGGAGCTTCTCTCCTTTTAAAAGATTTCTTTATTGCCCAGAGATACTTCATCCTTTATCTATTGCTTTTCATCCCTTGCTGCCTGTGTGTCAGTTGTAATTTATGTGCTTCAAGAAGTCTAGTGTTACTTTCCTCGTTTCTCAGGTTGATGCGTAGCTGACAGACCCTCCCCACGTCATGCTGGTAGTCAGCAGAAGAGTTTGAAGTCGATCTTTGTTAGAGTCCACTATGTGCTTGACCATGCTGCAGGGATTTTTTTTTATGTGGCTGCAAGACCTGACGCTTATTTCCAGTAAACCTCAGTCGTCACGGAGGGAAGGTTAACAGATGGCACTGCCCATTCACATCTCCTTTTGAAATTTCAGCCATAGTCTTGGGCAGCTGTTGAATCCTACCAAGTGTTAACATGTATGGATACATATGAGCTATGTATTTGCAAATGCTTCTGACTACATTATCGCTAGCAAAGCTGCAAGGTTAGCAGTGTTATAAGAACTTTGCATATTATGACCAACATGGTCTGTGGATGCGATACTGCACCGATGGTTGGGACAGCTGCGTGCAGAACCTGGGTCTCCTGGAAGCCTCCTTCCTCAGTGCTACGCAAGTCGCGAGGTCCTGCTGTGTGTTGATTTCTCAGCTGAGAGTAACTTTTCTCCTGTGCTTTTTCCTTCTTGACTATTTATCTTGTGCTTGTGTAGCATGTGTCACAGTGGGCCTGATCTCCGCTAGTCCCTGTATTTATTGGGTAGTGTACTGTAAATAAGTGCCCTACTTTCATTCTCATTCATGCTTACTGTGGTAAACTCTAAACTGTTGTTGATTTCTATCACAGATAATTTTTTAGTATTAAAACAGCAAATTGCTGCCTATCTTGGTAATCTTAATAGTACATTACTCACCAGCTTCTATCTGCAATGACACTATAGGTTTGACACGTAACAAAGAGCTGTTGGTATGGAAATGCACAGTTGGGCTTCTCTAATATTTTTTCCTCCTTTTGTATTTCCAAGGTACTGCACAGATGAGAACCAGACATTTCCTCAGCCGTTCATGCTGGAGAATCACATCAGCCTCATGCACGGCATCAAAAACCCAGACTTATCGCAGATGGCCAAAGCAAAAGTTCCCGAGAGAGACACAGCAGAAGTAACTGATACATTTTCATTGAAAAATAAATACACCTGGCGAGTAGCTGTTCACTTAGAGTGTTATGTTGAGCTGCAGCCTTGCAGCAGTAAAGCCCTCTCATCCATACGGCAGATTTCCTTCCTCTTCTCTAAACTCCACCCAGTTTGTTTCTTTCTGACAGTGTCATGATCAAAAGTGAAAGTGCAGCTGAGTTGTGGCAGCACCAGGGCAATGTATCTTACGTTTCTCAAGATATTCTTGAACATGTGACCCTTTGTTTTATTGGCCTTTTGTCAGTCTACTCTGTAACCACATCTAATTTAGGTTTGTAGTTACCCTCATTTTCCTCTGCCATTGTATTCTGTTTCCTTGAGGTACATCAGCCTGATGCATTTTTTCCTCTTTTCCCCCCTGTTTTTTTCTGTTACTTTTGTGAAGATTCCTTTTGTGTTTTAAAAGCTTACTAGATCTGCTATATATAAGAACTATGTTTCTCCTAAGTAGGACTGGGTGAATTTATTCAGCAAATGTTACCGTCAACTAATTTTATTTTGGATTGATTTGGGGGAAGAGAGATTGGTTGACTGGATTTCTTTGTTCCATTTACTTTAAAAACAGAAGCAGGTTTCCCATATCATCGCTAGTTATTCACTTGTACTATAGTACTGAGGGATCACAACCGTGACTGACTCCCCACTTTATTTATGCCATATATTTGTACAGTGCTTACAGGCATAGTGACATGGAAACATCTGGGGCAGCTCAAGAATTCCCTTCCAGGAGCTATTAGCTGCTTCCATCCAGCAGAGTTCATGTATTGAGGGCACACCTGGCTAAACTGTGGGCAGACAGTAGCTCCGTGTGTTTCTAAGCGGGTCTGCAAACACAGCCCTAACTGTGCCCTAAACAAAGACGGTAAACCATAGGTAACAAAATCACATGAAATAGCATATGCAAGTGAGCGATCCCCAGGGGAGGAGAAGCACACTGCAGGATTATAAAACAGAGGGAATGAATTAATGGAGACACCACGAGGAAGGAGCCTGGGAGTGGAGGGGGAAATGTCCACAGTTAAATCTAAGCAGCATTGCCTGTGCAAATTACCATCCCAGTGTCCCTCAGCTGTGACCACTCTGTGGGCTTCTGCTTCTGCTCATTACGTTTTTTCTTTTTCTGACTCTCTTTGCCTCCCCCACCAAGTTCAAATTCTCCTTCTTCATCATGTCTCTGTCCAGCCAATCCCTCCCAGGTCTCCCAACTCATGTGTCAGGATAGCAGTTGAGACCTTGCACATTGGGATGAAGATGCAGGTTCTTGGAACAGAGCCCTGAGGTGTTTAGGTACTTGTAGGAAAGGCGATGCAACAGGAGTCCCTAGACGTGGCTTCATTTTAGTTTGTAACAAAATACCTATGTGTATTTCCACTCATATGCCTTTAGATAGATGCATGGAATTTAGCAAGCTAAGGTGCTTACTCTTACATGTGCTAGAACAATAATGTAACTTTTAAATCTTATTTTTAAGGCAAGATCTCCAAAGAGGATGTCAACAGATGAGCTGGGTCAGGCAGAGACCACTGCTGGTTCAGACATGCCGCCAGCCAAAAGACTGAAAGCACATTGGAAATGTGCTAAATGTGGATTTGCAACAGACATCAGTACTGAATTTCAGGAACACATACCTCAGCACAAGACGGACAGCTCTACGTATCAGTGCTTGTTCTGTGGCTTGTGTTACACATCTCATATCTCTCTGAACAGACACCTCTTCATTGTTCATAAAGTAAAAGATGAGGAGGAGGAGGAGGAGGAGGATGACGAGGAGGAGGAGGAGGATGAAGAGGAGGAGCAAGAGGAGGGGGAAGAAGAGACCGAGAAGTTACAAACAGAGATGAATGAGAATGGACATGAGGGGTATAATGGTGAGATGAACACTACGGTGGAAGAAGAAAATCTGAAATGCAAAGAGTGCAAAACTGACTCAGCTCTTTGTGAACACAGTCAGACGTGTGGTGTGGAGGGTCCTAATAGCACCTCTCAGAACAATCATTCAAAGTCTTTTAAGACTTAAAAAAAAAAACCTTTTAGTTGGTTGGGGTTTTTTGTTTGGGGGAGGGTTTTTACTCAAAATACCAGGTGGGGAATGGGGCAAATCGTTGAAATAGTCTGTTGATTTCTTGGGATGGACGTTGCTTTCCGTTAACTTCTGTTTGTAAGGGAAATTTAAAAAAGAAAAAACCCCGCCATTGCATCCTAAGCACTAAATCTCTGCCAGATCAGAGAGGTGAAAAGGGAAAGCAGGGCGAGAATCCTCGCTGGAATTTGTCCATCTCCCGAGGATCAAGGAGCACTTTCTGCAACTGCAGTTTCCTTAAGATGAGCTCTCTTCCTTCGAGTGTGCACTGCCTCAGCCTCTGCCTGGAGCCCCAGCCTTCCCTTCCCTCTCTTGCTTTCTTTCTCCCAGTATTTATGACTAATTTTTCTCTTCCCATCCTGCCTTTGTTTTACTCGTTTTAATTCATAATGCTGTCTCGGCGAAATGTCAGGACTATGCTGGCTGAAACAAGATCTCCTACATTACACAGGACAGGTGCAAGCTGCAAGTTGTACTGAAGCTTCAGACAGTTTTTTCATTGCCCTGGTAACAGTCTTATTTCCCACAAGGTAATTTAATGAAATGTTATGGATTTGAATCCTCCTCAAAGAGAATCTCATAGCTACCGTCCTCTTGTGTGAGCAGAGCTCAAAAGCACGTGTCACAGATTGACAAGGGCCTGGTCCGCCCCAGGGACTTGTCGGTTCTATGTCAATATAGCTGCACTGCTGGAAGCTATATAGAAGGTGGGTATAGCCAGCTGTAGGCTGGGCCTGGCACGCTGTGGCTTATCCCTGCTCGAAGCTCAGGCAGAGCGACGTGGCCGGTGAGTACGGCACCATAAACACTTGTGCCTCTCTGTGCTAGCGAGGAGCACTGGAGATTGAATGTCACGATCCACAGAATAGGAAAACTCTCCCCTCCCCGTCTCGCTATCGGCTGGAATGAAATAGTCCCTGTACTCTTAACTACATCAGCTAGGAGTTCTGCAAGACAGGAGTTCTGCCCCTCATCTGCTTTTATAAAGCTCCTTGCTTAAGAAGCAGATACAAGGATTACAGAGAAGCAAAATCAATCTGGTAACACTCTAGTGTATGGCCTGCTCTGCATGAAATCTAGCTAATCTGGTCTGCAGCAGTCAGCAGCGGCGGCTTTTGGTAGCTGAGGAGGTTCCCTGCATAGTATCAGGCAAGGAGGAGAGTGGTTTCCGGAAAGGGGCTTGTAGGACTGAGAAACCACCATACTGTAATGCTTCAAATACTTTAGCTCCTTTGATAGCTCTTCTCCCAACTTTACTCAGTTTTATGTATTACTTTGGAGACGTTTATTTCCATGTAGTCATATTGACTCTCTGTCCATGCTATTTCCTCACTTGTTCCCCTCAACAAACACATGCTTTGTGTAATATAATTATCTTCTATACCGTTTTTTATGTTGAGCCAGAATCCTGCTCGTTATTGTTTACTATGACAATGTTTAAATAATTTAAGAACTATTTATCTTATTGCATTTGAATTGCTCACTTTCTTGTCTCAATGTGTTTTGATACAAACAGTTTGGACTCTTTGTATTTTTTGATACTGTGTACATTAGCCTAGGGAATGTTTTACAAGGTAGCCTATGTAGAGTAACAATAGCAGGGGGCACTCCCAAGCCATCACATATCTATTTAATCTGCAGTGGCATTTGTGCCTTGCTATAATGTTTACTTCAAAGTATTTCAAATAAAAGCATCCAACAATGCTTGATTGGGCTTGGTTCTTCCTAGGTAATATGGGTAAGCTAGCACAGGAAATAGACCTACTGCCTGCCACCGTTTTCCAAGCATGTCCTGCTACAGTGAAAATGAGGATAATTTTTAAGGACCGCTCATCTGTATTGAGAGTCCTGTGTGGTCTTGATCAGTGCCACGAGCTAGGAAACAGCCCTGGTAATCCAGCAGCTTCAATAAGGCTGTGCACAGCAGTTTTCTGCTTTCCTCCACAGATGGACAGCAGCCTTTCTGCATGTGGCAAACTCCACTTGAAGGTTGTGAAGGATAATTTTCTCCTCTGCTACTTAGGCTATTTAGGACTGAGAGCGGCATGAAGGTGAGGCAGCTGCTGAGAAGGACAACATACACATCCTAGGACTCGAGGCCTCCTGTCATAGGAAAAAGGTGTACGGTAGCATTGTGGACGCTTCCGCGTTACGGATGCTGTAAAATGTGTTCCCAAAAGGCAAAGCCACCTCTATAAAGCAAAGGACCAGTGTAAGTCCTTATTGGCTTCTGTAGTCTCCTAGTTCAGGTGAAGGGGATGCCATTTATCCACTTATCCCATAGCAGTCCTGAAATAAGGACCTGCAGTTACAGCTACAGTGGATGCAAGTGTGCCATGAATCTGGTTTGCTCTGCTTTTTACTCCTGGTCCAGTTCCTCTGCTTGTCTCTGTTGGTACTTTGCTAGATCTCTCCTGGATCCCTCCCTAAGCAAAAGAATTGCACATTCGGGAGCAGCGGGAGAATTAGACTGCCCCATGAATAGTATGTACAGGCCATGCATGGCTAGCCACGTCCACACTGGTGTGATGCCTTTTCTCTGCAGCACACACAGATCATCCGGCTGCGAAAGCACATATGCACCAGGCTCCTCTAGTCTTCTATGAGGTGCAGTAGAAAGAAACTGAATTTTTTAATCCGTTGTATTTCAGGCCTGAAGGAGGAGCCCTGTGGGCCTAGAGGAGGCCTGAGCCATTGTGGCAGTGTCTAAAGCTAAGCCTGAAGCAGAGGAAGGTTGCAGGAACTACATTGGCAACTGCAAGAATCTCAGGGGCTCCCTAGCGTGCTGGTGGCCAGCGGTATGTGGATATGTCCCTTGTCACCTTCCCTCCCCCTAGAACAGAGGACATCATCCTGCTTTCAAGAATGGCATGGTGCAGAGCAGCAAAACCTCATCCTCTTCATCCAGCCTCAGACTTGATGGGCACAGCCTTACTTTTTACTTTTTCTGCAGGATGCAAGAGCAAAATGGGTGCTGCTTGCTTACTTGCAGAAGGGCAGGCACAGGATCTGGGAATGGGAGCCAGGTGTCAAGGAGCTGGCAGGGTCCACGATATCGGAGCACCGAAAACCTCTTTCCACCAGAAGGTTAAGAGCACAGAGGCCAGAGGCAGACTGCTGGTGGCTGCAGGCATCTCACGCAGCCCACGCTCTGCTAGTGCACGCAGCGGGCTCGGGCCGTGCTATGCCAGGCTGTTCCGCGATCTGTCTGGGCAGCAGCATGTGGTGAACAAGGTGCGCAGCACCCCTTTTCCTTCCTGGTGTGCAACCCAAAAGGCCTTGTCTGTGCCTGCAAGTGTGGCTCTTAAGATGTCAGGGCTGGGGCTAGGTAAAGGGTCTCCTACTAACCATATTAGCAGGTGGCCAAAGCCCTCAATTTGGTGGCCTTTAAATGTTATACAATCTAGGCAATCAGTCCTGTCGAGGCGCAGGTCTGGCTGACCTGAGGGCATGGTCCACCATCATTCTGGTGAGGCCAGGAGCCTCATGGGAACAGGTTTAAGTTGAATGTGCTGTGTAAAAAGACAGCATAACCCTACACAGGTGAGGAATAAGGTGCTGGCCTGGCTCTGTCAGCAAAGGAAATAATTTTTGACACGCTACCATCACATATGTGGCTGGTGTAGCTGATGATGCCATCTATAATTTTCCCTTCCCTGGGCTACAGGGCTTACACGATGACTGGCAAGCCCTTTGCAGTTGATGGCCTGAGTTGGGGAATGGTCTATGAGGATATGAATCCAGTTGGCAGTCCCCACAACAAGCAAATACCCATGTGGCTTCAGATATGTTTTTGACATGGGTGACTCATAATTATATATAGCCTGTGCAGGGACCTCAGAGACCACCACTGTGGCTGTGCCCGCAGAGGACTTACCTATCCCAGTTTGGTTCCCCCCGTCCCAGTCTGGTTACTCCCACGTTGGGATTGGCACGAGGCTGCAGTGACGAGGCTCCTCTGCGCCGGGCGCTCCCTGCAGTCGGCCGTCCTGCCGCAAGGCTGTGCCAGTGCTCGGTGGCAAGTGGCAGCCTTCTGAATGCACTCCTCTCCAGCCCCAGCACACAGCGTGTCATCCACCACCATGGGTAACGCGCCCTCTCTCAGCCCCCAAATCTCTGACTGAGGCAGGGGAGACGGCCACAAGGGACAGGGAGCCAAAGAGATAATGCCGTCTCACTCTTAACATGCCTGTGTCAGCCAGTACCCACTTACGGCATCTCTGTGTTGAAACAGTCTCATCTGAACGGTCTGAAGGACAGTCTGAACAGTTCAACGGTAGAAGGGGGCACAGGCCCTGAAGGCAGCTGGTGCGGGTATGTGTGAGGCCTAAGGATTTTAGGTGGAATAGTGAAAGGTGAAAATCCGATTTAAATGGGATCCCCAGGCTATTGCTAGAATTTGTGTCAGTATGGCATGTCACACAAGGACCTGGCAATTGCACTCATCATTGGTGGGATTAGGAAACGGAAAGTCCAAGCCATGGGTTCAGAGTGGGAGTTGTAGGGAAGACACCCCTTTCCCAGGCAGGAGGAATTCCCGCATCCCTTTGGAGCCCGTGGACAGCCGCGACGTCTGTGAGCACTCAGAGGGCTCACAGATGAAGCACAGTCAGGGCAGGAGATAACCCAGCGTGCCGTAGTTTTTGCTCAAGATGACAACCAGCACACTCGGATCCCATCTGTAAATGTCTCTCTCCAACGCTGCAATTTCCCCTCCTACTTTGGCCAATGAGCGGCTTCTGTACTCAACTGGCTGCCATCCACGCCTGGAGGCATGAGGACCGCTAACTGCAAAGAAGGATTTGTCCCCAAGTCTGTGGTATTTTGCCCCCATTGCCTCAAAGAGACTGCAGGCTCTGATCTTGTCCCAGGTGAAACCTGCCCGAGCTCCTGACAGCACCAGGGATTACAGGGCCTGAAGGTAGACAGTGAAGCCCTCCAGCCCTGGACGGCATAAACCGAGAGCCTGCAGCAGTCCCGGCGCAGAAAGGACAGTTGCTTTTCCAGTGTCACCCACTTCGTTTGGGAGGCCCATCCTCGCCGCCCTGCCGTTGGTGCCCCCAGTGCTTGGGACTGCTGAGGAATCTCCTGGCTCCTTCTGCAATTTTGGATGGTCACCCATCCTCAGAGCGGTGGGCGACAGGCAGGAACTCGCTGGTGGACGATGTCGGTCACCCTTGCTCCTGAATGCCCCAAGCGCAGCACAGGCCTGTTAACCCCAAGGTGATGAGGGTTATCTTGGCGCACGGGCCTCCCGCTCCGGGGGCAGGGGCCGAGGTGGCCGGGTGCCCCGTGCACCCGCAGGTGCTGCCTTGGCCATGCTGCTGCCCGGGGAGCCACTTTGCAGGGCTCCTCTCACCTCCCCGTCCCCTCC